ATGCTGCGGGCTGGGTGCTGAGCCCGGGGCCGAGGGGGTTGGGGGAAGCGGGGCACGTGCAGAGGCGCGAGCTCGCCGAGTGGGGTGCGGCGCAGGCAGCGCCAGCTGGCGAGGCTTTTGGGTCCACCCACGAGGCATGTGATTTCGGGCACGCTGTTGCCCCCGGCACGGGTGCTCTCCAGGGACCGAAACATGCGCTCTTGTTCTCGACACGCACATGCACGTGTCATCACGCGCAGTGATGACGAGCGCGAGCACGCCAACCTGCTGATGGCGCAGCAGAACCGCCGCGGCGGCCGCGTCTACCTCGCACCCATCTCGCGTCCGGTGAGCGGCTTGGGCTCTAGTAATGTCGTGATCTACGCCGCGGCGCTCTGGGGAGCTAGCGCGCGCTCGTGGCTGCCGTGTTTTCGGATGTCTGAGTCCTGACCCTCGTGCGGGACCTTGTGGCTGCCGAACCCCGTCGCCTGATGCTCCAACACCCGCACATCAGTCACATGCCGTCATCTCACGCAAGTCTGTGCTTCCCTTTGTCATCCCCCACCCTGGCGGCTGCGGGCAGTGCCGAGGGTTGGGTGCAGCCAGCACGACAGGGGCCTGCCGCAACTCCAACAATCCCCTTGTCTCAACACTCACTGGTCCCATCCCCCCCTCCAATCTCTCTCTCTCTCTCTCTGTCTCTCTCTCTCTCTCTCTTTCTTTCTCTCTCTCTCTCTCTCTCTCTCTCTCTCTCTCTCTCTCTCCACACACACACACACACACACACACACACACACACGCACACACACACACGCACGCGCGCGCATGCACGCACGCACGCACGCAAGCACACCCACCTCATCCGCACCATAAAATCGGGCTGGCCGCCCCCCCCAACAGGTGTCTGAGTTCTTTGACGAGGCCAAGGGTGACGCCCTCAACGGCGTGGAGATGTCGCTGGCCCTCGAAAAGCTCAACTTCCTGAAGCTCAGGTGAACGCGCGCACACAGCAAAGTGGCATCGTCCAAGGTTGCCGACCCGCGACCCGGATGGTCACGCGGTGTCACTGCCTGGAATTGCGCGCAGCATGCGTACAAACAGACCCGAGACACTTTACACAGGGAGGCACGATTTTTGTCAGGCGCAAGAGTTGTGGGGTATCCGGGCCCACTCACAAGCAGCACCAGGGATCGTTTGGGTCCGCTGGCGTCGTTTCCCGCAGGGCGGGCTTGTTGGAACCCACCCGCACCGGACCGAGTGCTGCCGCCGCCAGCGCACCGCCGTCGAGCGGGGCGGTTGTGCCCGCCCGCCCGCGCGTGGCTGGCTGCCCGTCGCGGCTTAAATGGCGGCGCTCAAACCAGCAAGCCTGCTGATCGCTGCTGTGCGCAGGCACCTGCACGCCGTCGCCAGTGAGGAGGGGGACGCCGAGTTCACGCAGTTCATCGAGGTGGGCGGGAAGAGCCCAGCTGAGGGCGGCGGCATGCAGTGCGCGGGAGCCGCTCCTTTGGCATCGGCGCGGCGCAATCCTGCGTTTTGGGAGCCCCACGACCCTGCTGCGCGCGGCGCACGCTCTTGCAGCAGCCCCTGCTCCCCCACCTTGGCTCGTGAATCATTTTGCTGCGGGACTCACTGCTGCACTTGCGGGTTTGGCCGAGCGGAAAGGAACAGCAGCACGCAGCCAGCGGCGGCTGACGCTGCTGCTCTCAACCAAAACCTCCGCGCCGCAGGACAACCTGCTGCGCCCCCAGTCCACTGAGGTAAGGGAGGGATCACCCCCAATAAAGGGGACGGCGCGCAGTGTTGCAGCGCACCAGAGTTCTCCAGGCGGGGGCCGTGCCCGCCCCAGCCCGACTCCTCTGCACCGCAACACGTCGTGCGCCCTCTGTGCTCCCTGTCGCGGAAGCGGCTTGTGATTTGCACTGCGGGCTGCGCCCGTCGCTCCCCGCAGGTCAAGCAAGCCGCGGACCTCTTCAGTCGCGTCAGGCGCGCGGGCCCGGGCCACGGTGAGCGGGCGGAGCGCATATACAGAGGAGGCTGCAGCTGGCGGGGTGCTGGCCTGGGGTTGCTGCTAGGTGCCTGACCGATCGGATGTTGCCTGAGACGCCACGAGAAAATCAGCGGCCCGATACATGATTCTTTGCCGTGCGCATGTCACGGCATTGCCGACCTGCCATGCACGCGTGGCGTTTGTTCACCTGGGCTGCGAGCACACCACTATCTGTGCTGACTGGCTGCACCACCGCTGCCGCCGCCGCAACCCCGCGCTGCACCCAGGCGTGGTCCACATTGACATTGAGCTGCAGAGGCGGTGAGGGAGGCTCATCCGCGGGGTCAGCTAGGGCCAGGGTTAGAACATCCATTGCCTGCGTGCGCGCG